ATTAACTCATAAAAATCTTTATTTAAAAAAATCATTTGCATTTGCTATATGAATTATGATAGTTACATAATACACCCTTTAGGACGAAATTACACACGTTCAGCTTTAAACGTTAAAAAGTTAATATTTATGCCATGAAAGACAAATAGGCCAAAACAGAAAAAACTCTTTATCACTTAAAATAACATTTGAGCTGAATAATGTGAAGTTACGTCTCTACGTGTCATTTCGCCCACCTCACACACACAGATTCAAAATGAACACCTGTACGTGCCCCGCGCTGCACGCACGTCCACAACACTAACATGGCGAGGGTCGTCGCCTCACAGGCCCGATCACAACACGAACGCAGGGTCTACACGCAACGATTGGACACACGCACGGACATTTGCTTCCATTTGATTCCGCCCTGTAGCCGTGCGTGCAGCACGCAGGCCCATCATGGCAGCCATTATGAGGCTCTCCCAACATTTGCAATGGCCTACGTGCACAAGAAGAGTGGGGAGTGGCGCAAGGCTGCTCTCTGCACCATGTTGCGCCTAGCAGCTGGAGAAAACCCGCTCTCAGATCGAGCCTCTGCACAGCAGATCGTTCACTGCACATTTTCAACATACACACTTTTTTTGTATTTTTCACCACAGCGTTTTGCACATACAGCCACAGCAGCAAGCGGCGCAGGAAAACTGTAGCCTGCACTGGAGGGGGAGGACCATGCTGGAACATAAAGTGTGGGTCACGTGTTCCTCCGCAAGGGGCTTGAATATTTACCTTTTTGTCACGCAATGCAAGTCCCCCCCCCCCCCCCCCCCCCCCCTACTGCCGAAAGGAATGTAATGCAACTATACGTGTAAGTGCGTATATAGGATCCACAATCTGGCACAAACTGTTGGCTTTTTTACGCATTACGCACGGAAAATGCTGCCTGTTTAAATTATTATTATTATTATTATTATTATTATTTCAGGGCTCATTAACAGCTCATGGATTTGTTGTGTTTGTAAAGTGAGGCTGATACACAAGAACACAGCCGTGAAGGGATTTCTGAGCAGGCCTATATACGTTAGCTCACACACAACCTCTAGTTTGGCTGTCTCTCACACACACATACGCACACACATACGTATGTAACCAGGGGAGAGGCTCTGCTGATTGGTATGCATCTCATCGTGCATTGCAGTGTTACAGTCAATAAGGAAACTTAAACGCCTACATATAGGAAACACAGATCCATTTAAATATACGTGTGCAGCAGCCAATAGGAAAGTTTGATTCAGATATATGTTATAAGTGAGATGTAATTATTGCCTATGTATTTGTGTGTGTGTGTGTGTGTGTGTGTGTGTGTGTGTATGTGTGTGTGTGTGTGTGTGTGTGTGTGTGTGTGTGTCCATGTTGTACAGTGGGATAGGCCCTTCGCTGCTGCAGATCACGCGATAATGGCAGCAGCCACCGTGTGTTCTGCGGATGTCGGGACTAAACCGTTTCCTTTGCCGCTTTTTTTTACCAAGCAATTACACTTAACTTAGATAAGAAATAAAACAAACAAGAAACAAAAACAACAGCTTGGTAGAGATCACACACAGAGGCAGATAGACAGGGGGAAACGTGCTTGCTATATTTCTCGGCGGAAGCCTACAGGTCACACACAGTCTGCCATGGGGCACAGTGGTATATGAAGCGTATGGGCGTATGATACGATGTGAGTGGGTGCGTGTGTGTGTAGGCCTACCGTAGTCTTTTGGGAACAGAGTAGTCTACCTCTATCACCTTCCCGTGCAACTCAACTTTACCTGTAAGGATGAGAATGGATAGTGTAAGAGAAGCTGTGCGTCATGACAGCAACAATGCAGGCTGCTGCTGGTGTGTAGGCCTCCACCATGCAACACTTTGAATCACTTCACCCAAGTAGGTGCGTCCCCATTCAAACAGCCTGCCCCTGCTCCACGAGGAGGGCGCGTTAGGCATGGCACGCACGCCTAAACTCTATATGTTTACACCAACACAAGCACAATGGGGCATTTTTTATGTTCAGGGTCACAAGTGGAGGGGGGGTCGGCGGACAAATGAAGCATAATAAGGTTTTATATACATAGTGTATGTAAGGGGGAAATGGGCAGCCATGCTTTCCACTCCCACAACCCTCACAGTGCAATGAGGGGTGTTTTCAGCTCCCGGTAAAGAATGCAACACGTAAAGAAGAGATGGTGAAAGGAGGATGACTTGTCCTCTTTTTTTCTATGCTGTACAGTGGGTTAATTCTCCAGCCAGTTTAAATGCGAATTGCCTTTGAATTTGCCTTTGATCCACTCCTCGGCGAAGCTTGCAACACGAGTGTTTTCCCCCCTCTCGTTACTATTACGAGTGGCCTGGCGCAGCACGGAATTAGCGTCTCACCCCGTCCCCCCCTCCAACTCGGCTACCTGTTTATTAGCTCTTTTCCTCTGGACCCCCGTGACCCACCTCCACGACACCTCGTAAAAACATGCCCAGACACCGGGGGAACACAGATCCGGCAAGTTTTCCGCGCTCGCATCGCCGTGCCGCCTTTAATAAAATCAGGATAAAAAATAAGTGAAAAATAATTATGCCTACCCACCGAAACCAGTCGCACCATCCCATACATTCCAGCGGGGCGATTTGCGAAGTAGCGCCCCGCACCATCGGAATCCCCCCTTGAAATTTTACGTTAAATGTTGCGCGTAAATTTGCGTTCTCGTGTCTTTTTCCTCTTTAAGGGGCAAAACGAAGCCCCGAGTGTGTCCCCATGCTATCGATCATTTATCCGATTCCTGTTGGGAGAGCGTGTGCATGACTGAGCGTTCATATAAACTCTCATGGCTCAAAATAAAAACACAGGAATAGAAAAAGAGCTTTAGCAATGATTCGGTATTTCACAGTTTCACACAACATGCGCTCTTTATTTTTTTTTTATCGGATCTTGCAGTTTCGGATTTGTCTTCCTCCTCTGTCACCACCAGCCAGCATCACTTATCATAAAAAAGCCAACACTTACCAGAAAGAGTCTCTATCGCCTTTATGGCCGAGTTCTGATCGGGGAAGTCCACAAAAGCATAGCCGGATTTCAGCAAGACCTGCTCGGCCACTGGCAGCTTCCTCTCCCCGAAGAGCTGCTGCAAGTCCTCGACAGTGACCGAAGGACTTAAATTCCCAACATATAGTTTGTTCATGATCTGAAAAGAGGAGGAAATTAAAAAAATCTGCAAGGGGTGTCAGGTCTTGTAGAGCGAGAGAGAGGCGATAACCAGGAGAAGTAGAAAAAAATAAAAAATTAAGATAAAATAAAAAAAATAAAATTAGGGGGGGGGGGGAATCAGCTGGGATTTAAATAATAAAAATAAAAAAATGCAGCAGTCACCCCCCAGGAAATAACCAAGCAGTATGCGACCCCCCAGCACCAACTCTGGCCCTGGTCAAACTCTTTTAACAAGGACTGGGGGGGAGAGAAAAAAAGTGTCGTTACGACGCTACTCTGAAGCCAACAAGCACCGCCTCTTAATAAAATCTCCCTTAAAATCACAAGAAAACACACACACACACTGTTAGTAGGTGCATGTGGGATCACTCCTGGTTTCCAGGGTATGAAAGTGGCATGATGATGATGATGACATGGGTAACATTCAGCAAAAAGGATGGGCTCAAAGGAGGCGAGACGGGGTTATACATTCGCCATCTAATCAGAAAAAGGGCACGCAAATTGAGTTGGGGGGAGTGAATGACAAAAAAAACATTTTTTCAAATAAAGGTCTGTTAGAAAAATCAAGTCGCTGTCACTGTTCCTGTCAACAATAAAACACTGTCACTGACATGTGCATTTTACGTATTTATGGGCAACGTAACAACACAATTTGGAGTCAGATTGAGGGGGCCCCAAGACTCCTGTGAGACATGTCACCCTATAATAAAACATCTGACATGATCATGTTCATAATGTTTCATACTTTGGCTGCAATTATAGATGTTAATAGGTAAAGAATGCAGAAAGTGAAACCTGAACGCAGCCATTCTTGTAAACTCTGACCTTGTGCAGAAGTAACTGTGAAATAAGACACTCTGCATTTTCCCGGTGGCCCCCACATTATTCCCAAGGGGTCAGGGTTTGAGGGCACAGACCTGCAGCATACAACATATGTCCAATCTAATTGAAATGTCATAATTAAATGCGATGACTCTTGGTTTGCACTTCAACCTGTGGCCAGTGCTCCAACATGCAACAGCAAAACATGCAAAATTGAGCAAAACATGTATTTTTAGAGGCCGATAAGGAGAAGTGAGGGGATTCCAGAGTCCTGTGCAGGGAGGAGGAGGTGCCCTCTACGCAGTGTCACTCACCCAGTCTGAGCTCATTCTCCCAGGGTACAAATATGGTATAGCATCTCCTTTTTCTTTTTTCCTTTTTGTTGATGTAGGTGTGTACAAGTGGGCATGTTATGGGAGGGAAGGGAAGAAGAGGGGGGATTTTCAAAATAAAAGCTGCAAGGATAAAGGCTGCAGCTGCATGACAAGGAGGTGGAGGGTGGTGTGTGTGCAGGCAGGCTGCAGTGCTCATGCATGGATGTGTCTTGTACCTACAGTAGTTACCAAGGGGGGGAGGAGCCTTTTTCCCTGCAGCACTTGAGTGTTTTCTACATGTGACTGGCCTGTGCATTGGAACATTACTGCCACCCCACTGTAGTGCAGAGAGTGCCAGGAGCAGGAGTGACCATCCACTCCTTGTTTACGTCAGCGTGTGCACGGAGGAATGTCTGAGTCTATTTACAAAACAGCTCTTCAGTTACTTTTCCCGATGACATGCCGACAGTTGTTGGAGGCTTCTGCTGAGACTCATTCAGACCTGAAGTGGAATAAGAGCAGCCATTCATTTCAAAACTCATTAACAGCATCATATCCTCTCTAAATTAGTTTTACACTGTGAATTAAACAGCCACTGCTTTTAATATGAACTTATTTGACAGTCTAGTTCAATTTAAACAGCGACTCATTTCAATAGGTTTTCTTTTGTGAGTAGATAACCACAAATGTCACAACACACTCGTCCCTTCCTGTTACATGTTGTCCCCATTCAGGTCAGTGGTGCTGTCAAACCCAAAAAAATGATTTCCACTGCGAAAGGAAAACGAACTGGGACTGGGAGGGATGTGACATTTGTGGAACAGAGAACAAACAACACACACATATAAATGTGGTAAAAGATGGAAATAAAAAGGCGTGTGGAGTTTCCAAGGACGGGATAACAGTTCAAAACGGGGGCATGCAGCAAAAGAACCATTCAAACAATATATTATTCAAACAAACTAGGATTAAATGGAAAATAAAATTACAGTTTAAATCCTTCAAAAAAAGTTCCATGTCAAGTTTCTACCCCCCGGTGAAATAATCGTTCCCATTAAAACTAGGATTAAATGAACTATTTATTTTAGTGGTTTTGATTGAACTTTTCTTTTACCGCTTGTAGGAGAT